TAAGATCTCCAGGAAACAGAACCAGGGTGGGGGAATGAGGCTTTGTTTCTGTTGAGGTGGCAGAGGCAATCCTGTAGAACCCCCCCTCCCTGGCTTCTTGTTTCTAACTCATTTGGCTGTAATTTGTACTGTCAAGGTCATTTCAATAGGCAGCAAGATGTGGTGAATGTGTTCCCAGAGGTCATGAAAAGCCTCTTTAGCAGAGCAGGCTGGGCTGTGCTTAAGCCAGGTCATTTAAGCACATTTGTGTTGCCAGTCAGATGATACCCAGAGCAGTTGATGATTTTGTAATAAACCCTGCACCCTGGGCTTCCAGCGTGTGCCACAGTGGGATCCAGCACTCGGGTGTAAATGACAGTACAATAATTCAGAAACTGTAATTTAATGTGCACTAACCTTAAAATACGTGAAAAGGAGTGAGATGATCAAATCCTAATGAATCGTCTGGGTGCTTCACCAGCAGCCCCACCCCCCTTTTTCATTCTCTGAGACTGGTTCATTCATGTGGGCTATCAGTCTTTTATTCAGCCCTTGGTGTTGAAATAGTGCCATTTTTAATAAATGGTTTAGAGAGTTTCTCCAAATCAGATTTTATCCCCTTCTTTTTCCATATCTATTCTCCGTAGAGATGAATTAACCTTTTATCCTAGGAGGAAGTAAATAGAGACAGCATGATGGCAAGATTAGAAAAGACATCATTGCAGCCAGCTATTCCAAGGCTGGTGACTGCCACTCAGAATTCCTGGGTCTGTCTGAAGCTCTGCTGCTGCCCCTGCCTGGCTGTGGCCAAATCCCTTCCTTTGCCCTCTCTTTCATCTTTCCTCCCACGTTAATAAGCACTTTGTGTTAACCTGTATTACTTTACCTTTCCAAAGGACCCAGCAAACCTTATAAAAGCAGTGTGATCCACGCTCAGCTTGCCAGCAGCATTTCTGTTTGTGTGGCATGTCAGGCACTTCAACTTGGAGATTTTCTGTGTCTGAAGTTTGAAGTGTGACAGCTCAGAGTTACACTAATCCAGGCTGAGTGAAGCTACAAAATACAGCTCTTGAATATTTTACTTGCCCCCCAAATCCTGGTGTAGGTGGAGGGTTCTTTCTTTCCTCAAATACCTAGATACAACCTGGGAAAAAAAATTAAGGATTTAAAGTTCCCTGAATTCAAGTTTTGGTTGATGAGTCTTCCAGTCCTGGGGAGCACATGAGTTCTCCCTAAAGCAGCAACTGCTGTGACCCAGCTGTGATCCAGGGGATGGGAATCTCTTTGCCAGTGCTTTGCTTTCTGTGGCTACATCTTATTAGCCCCTCTTTCTGTGTTTTTGCTTATGCTTTATTCTCTACATTTATTTTGTGCGTGTGTGTATTTTGTTTTGTAAGACAAATGTGCTACTTTTAAAGAGACATTTCGTAACCTTTAATAAAGATCATATTTTATTTTCATCACATCTGTGTTTATATTATTACAAGCCTTTTGGGTATTAACGTCTTCTGGTCTCAGCATTAATGTTTTGGCTGATATATAAATAAATGTTTGACTTTGGCTTGGGAAAAAAACCCACCTTATCAATGTCTTCTTAGAATAGCTGCATTTCAAAAAGGGCAGGGACCAGTCAGTGCTTTCTCTAATAAAAATTGAGTGCAGGGAGTAATTCTAGATTCTGTGACCCACTGCATAAAATCAAACCTCCTGGCTTTTGAAAGATACCCTCTACCTGAAGATGCTACATCTGGGCTTTATCTTTTATGTCTCTTACTTGCCCGAGCAGTCTGGCATAATTGGGAAAATTCTGCTAAACTGTCATGTGGCAGAATGGGAGATTGTATAGTTAAAAAAATAAAGGTAGAATAGCCTCTAATTCTTATTTGGGTTACACAGGCTCAGATCAGTAATGAAGACAGTACAGTTCTTGATTTAAGCTGGAAGAGCAGAGGATTCTGAATTTATGGCTGCAGAAAGGGAAAAGAGTGGCATGTTTCACTGACTGGAGTGGAGATTTTAACAGTTATCTTCACACTTAACACAATTGTGTGTTATTACTTGTCCTCCAGATATATTTTAGAGTCCTTTGGAATAAATCAGTGTAGTTCCACCATTGTGAAGGAAATGACTGAAGTTATTACCAAATCGTGATGCAACGCAGGATTTTTAATGCATTTGACTTCCAGCGAGGATTTGAGAATGCTCTTTGAAATAACAGAAGTAAAAATGTTATGAAGACCAAACAGTGAAGTAGTATCATTTTGTAAATATATATAATAGCTGAAAATTGTTTACTTATCCTCCTTTATGAGAACCAAGCTTCTGTGACCTCCGATTAATTTACCATTAGCCTGAGCACACAATGAAAGTGAATGAAGGGGCAATTTGGAATGACATTTATCAGCTCTGGAGCTGTCGACTTCTATTATTTCCACAAGGCCTTATATTCCTTGGCTTCAGAGAAGGCTGTGCTGAATTGAATGAAGAGGAGCATTCTTACTTCCAAGAATAGTTGCAATGCAAACAGCCTCATTGCTTGATGCCTACAATGGGGATAAAAAACTTGAATTAAACGAGATCAGAGCCACCCTCGAGTAGTGGACTTGGACAGGACCTTGCCTTCACACCAGGTTAAAAAAAGGGAACAGAAGAGCTGAGAAAAGGGAGAAGGAGCAAGAGGAGGGAAGGAAATAAGCTTTACAGGGATAGGATAGCTGGGGGCTGAGGCTGAGAAGCCTTTCACGACGGGGATGTGGGTTGGAGCCCACGCTGCCTTTGCCGTGGGTGCGAGCCATTCCCAGCAGGACTGGCTGCTCCTCCTGAGCTGCTGCTGCTCCTCCTGAGCTGCTGCTGCTCCTGAGCTGCTGCTGTGTCAGATTTCTGCTGGGCAGGGAGCACACTGCAGCTTTCTGCTCCATATCTGCCACGGATCAGCCCCTTTTGGCGAGCCTTACAGCAGAGGCCACGAGTCCAGCGTGCAGGGAACCCAAACCCCCTTGGGCTGAGCTGAAACCAGTCTGTGGGCAGGTTGGCTTTGCTTCTCAGGCTGCCTTCCTTCCGGATAAATACGTGGCTTTGCTCTTCAGGGATCCTTGTCTGGCACAGGGTTGCTGTCTTTGGTTGGTTTGTTGGCTCATTTGTACTCAAAACTTCAATGCAACTAACTCAGCACCGATTTCACAACACTAGAGCTGGACTGTTGTGAGACTTCTTTATTTTTTAACTGAAATCAGGGGAGCAGCAAAGCAAGTCCCCTTCCATTTGGCTGGTGTTTTATTTTATTCTAAATTTATCTTTGTTGTGTTCTACTACAATGGATTTGTGTTTCTGTAAAGTAACAAATCCCTTCTAAAAATGTCGACTACCAGTTTTACTGGTGACATTTTTAACCCTGCAGCCTAAATCTCCTGGAAGATAACAGAACTCTGCCTTCTAGGTACCTAATTCACTTCTGGGAGGATAGAATGTCTGCTCCTAAGGCAATTCTATGCACTGATTTTTTTCCCATTTATTTTATGCACAAGTTGCCTCTAGGATGGCTTCAACATCACTTTCAGGATGACAGCTTTGTCCACTATGCCTCTGATAATGTTTATCTGCTATGACTGTCACAAAACTTTGGAAATATAACCAAATGTAGAAATGTAATCAAATATAACAAAGGTGCTTTGCTCAGAGGCAGTGGAAAAGTTGCATGACAGAGCTTTGCAGAATTGTCTTTATGTGTGGAGACATCTACATCGTATTTCCACGAGCAATAGGCAGCTGTAAAATTCCTTCTTTTCTTCTGTGTGGAGAAGAGTCACTGTTACAGGATAGTTACAGAGACTTCAGTGGTAACAGGAAAACACTCAAACACAAAAAAAAACCCACAAAAACCAAAAGCTGAGTCTAATCTCACTCAGCTTTGCATTGTTGTAAGTCAGGAATGATTCTATAAAACTGAACGTGCTTGCAGTTTAGGGAGACCAGAATCAGTTTCTTCAGTGCCTGGAGCTGGAGCCCAGCTGTCTGAGGAAGCACTTCTCGTAGCTAAAGGATGACTTTCCTAAGTCACAGTGTCAGACAAGAGCCAAGCTATTATGTGATGATTTGATCTAATATCACATCCATTAGTTCTGCTTATTTAAAAGTCAGTTAAAATCACTTCTAAAATGTTCCCGTTGTTGAAAATCCTTTCCTCCCTTTTCTGTTGGGTTTTTTTTTCTTTTTTTTTTTAATTGTATTTTTCTTTGCTCGAACAAAAATACCATTACTTGGCATTTTAGGTTTTTTTATAGCACTGTCTGTCACTCTTGTCTGTAATCAAGCCAGGTTTAGGAATCATACCATTACCCTGCAAAAAATGTCACCCAATTTTTCTGTTTTCACATAATAATAATAATAATTGTGAAATCTAGAAGTTCAGCTTTGCGCCAGATGAAAACATCTAGGGGTGTGTGCAGAATTACCCAGGTTACTGTGTCAGGTTTTGTTAAGGTGGAGGAGAAGTACTTATTTCTTATGGTGTTTTTGTGCTTGGAATTCTAAGTCTGGGAAGTTCAGGGGAAAATACAAGTTAATACAAAAGAAAAACCAAAGAGAAGGCACACCCCCCCCCCCAGAAAAAAAGACCATAAAAAATCCAAGTGAAGCCCCATTCACTTGTTTGCCCAATTTGGCTAGTGGTGGTTGAGTGTTAAGTGAAGATGGTCTTCAGTTTTTACTTTATTAATGAATATAAGATTCAGAATAAAATATAACTGTAAAATTGCTCTTTATTTTCACTGTAGAGGCAAATGTCTTGTTGATGGGAATAATTTCTTCAGAGACAGTGCAAACGGATGATGTTCTCTGATCATGTCACACTAATTTTCCAGTTTATCAGTCACTGCAGTTCCAGACTGCAGTGACAAGAGGGTATCACGTTTGATCTTCATTTGTGTGATGCAGGCTCTCAGGTTTAGGGCTCTGCCTTGGCTGGGCAGAGCTGTGCCAGCAGCACGTGGCTGATAACGCTCTTTCCTCCTCTGCTTTCACAGGATGAAGTGGCCCAGCCTCTGAACCTTTCAGCCAAACCCAAGACATCTGATGGCAAATCTCCCACATCCCCCACCTCTCCTCACATGCCAGCTCTGAGAATAAACAGTGGGGCCAGTTCGCTAAAGTCCTCCGTGCCAGCAACATTAGCGAGTCCTTCAGCCAGAGCCAACACAATAGGTGAGCTCTGTCCTGTGTGTGTCCCGCTGTCCTGTGTGTCCCCCTCTGTCCTGTGTGTCCCCCCCAGCCCCCTGTGTCCCCCTGGTCCTGCTGGGAAGGGTTTTTATCAGCCAGTGCCAGGCAGTGTGCCCAGAGCTGGCCCAGGGTGACCATCCTGCTCCAGCTGCTTGGTGTGGGTGCAGAAACTCAGAGACTTTCCTTTCAGGATGGGTATCTTAACTTTTGCAGACTCAGAAAACAAAGGTCTGTGTTATTTCAGATGCTGCTTTGCTTTCTGATAAGTGCTGGTTTTTAATGGCACACATGACAGGCAGTGACCTGGAATGGTGGGCACTGGAGACCCATGATGTTGTCCTGTGTCATCTAAAAGTGATGGATGAGCTTGCAGAAATACCTCTTTAAGTTAAAAGTCTACATCTTTCCAAAATTATGGGTTTAATTCTCAGTCCATCCGAATGCTGAATGGAATAGTATTTCACCTTGGTGTAATAAGCAAAACAATCACCAGGTTCATTCAAGAAAACCCCAAACTCTTGTTCTATGTTGCAAAAAGTCTTGACTGACTGTTTTTAGCATTGTTCCAGAAAATAGTGATGGTTCCTCCTTCAGCCAAAATCATGTCTTTGCCTAAGGACCATCTAAACTGTAACAGTCTTATTGGTAATTTCATAAATCTGATGTGTTACAGGGACTGTCCTTCGTGTGTGTAAGGAAAATGTGTGCACACCCCATTCCTGATCCTTCTAACTGAACTGTTGTATTCCATGAAGTGATTGAGTATGACCTGGATCAAGGTTCCATTTTGTAACTCAAGCTCTGTTTTGGGAATTGAGTGAGGCAGATGTGCTATTTCTGCTGTCTCCTAAAGCATCTCCTGCCTGGCCACTTCCAGGGGTAGCACAGAAAACCCCAAAAGAAGCCATAGGTCAAACCTTTGTCTGTGATACAGCAGTGCTGTGCAGTAATATTTATTTGGTGTGACACATTACAATTATAGAAATATTTGTAAAATATCACATTACTAATTGTGAATGTCAGTATTGTTATTTACCCTACACTCTTTAACTGTGATGCATAGTAATGTATTTTATCTTCAATTTGCTTGACCCTGCTGCTCTCCATGCACAATGCATTGAATTTTATTTTTTCACATTAGATTTTTTGTCCTTAAGTAGAGGGAACATCATATTTCCACGGGAAGTTAAGCATCTGACTCACATTTCAGTGGCAAGACATCTCTTGTTCTCCCCTCTCCAATCCTCTTTGCCTGCACACCTGGTATTTTCCATAGGTTTGAGACCCCTGCAATTTACTTCTTTTAACAAGGTGCAGATTTTGAAATGCTGTACCTTTAATGAGTGATAATGTAATTGGATAAAAGCTGTGAGGATGAACAGAGCTTTAAAGGTCACTCTTGTAAGAAGAATTAATGTGTTATACCATTAATAAACCATGGAAAACCGTGGAGCAAAAGATAACATATTTAAGTTATTGTTAATGACATCGAGTTCACTGCTGTATATCTCTCTGCTACAAATATAGAAAGTGACTTTTTGAGGTTGCTGAGCAGTATCTCTGTGCATGCTGTATGTGTAAGATAAGCTGTCTTTAGCTGGTGCAGGAGCTGGATGGACACTCCCAGCAAAGGTTTATCCTTTAGTGGAGGGCTGAAGGACAGGAAGGAGAAGCTCCTGAGCTCCCTGCACAGTGTCCTGCTAACTGCTAGGGCAGGCCCAGCCCAGTGACAGCCAGCAGGACTCACTGGCACGGGGAAACCCTGCTGAGCCTGAAGTGAGCTCGGAATCCCAGGCCACCCTCCACAGGAGCTGCACCAGGAGAGACTTCGGTAGGGTTTTAGCCAAGCCACAAAGGTCCCTGGCATGTTAGGGAAGCTGGCTCACTTTCTCTTCCTGAGTGGTAAATCCCTCCACAAAGAGCCCTGGGAGCACTCAGCCCCTGGTCAGACACCTCCACCTCTGGAGTGACCGGAGCTGTCAGCAGCAGGCACAAGCTGTCTGTCCTAGGTGTGCAGCTGTCTGTCCCTTCTCACCATCACTAGCTTCACATCCAACCCTTCTCTGGAAGCCCTTCAGGCTCCTTGGCTGGAGAAATGCCCGTGTATTGCTCAGCTTTCCGTGGGGGACACGAGCTCAGGGCCTCGGGGATTGTCAGCAGGGCTGCTCTCAGGCGTGCAGCCCCACAGCCCTCTGCAGAGCTATCCCCAAAGCCCAGAAACTGTGCTACAGACTGAGCAGTCACAAATGTCATGGCTTCATGTATGACTTTAAATCCAAGCATTTCTTTTTGGGAACAGGCATATGTCCGTGTACTAAAAACAGAAACGACTTCTCTCTGCTCTTTGCCATTATCTGCAACATCTCTGTGCTAGTTTGGCAATCCTTGGAACTAGGTTCATTTTATGTAATGCAGTTCCCCTCTCTGTCAATAATTCACCACCTACCCTAAACAACAATAATTTACATTCAACTCGCTTCTATATTAATCATTTCCCTGCACACCAGCATCTTGGCAGCTACTGAAAAACATAAGGAGTGCTTGCTTTTATTCACTGTCATGTGCCAAACTGTCTCAAAGATAGCAGTATTCAGGAAAAGCCAAATAGTCTGGAGAAGGGCATGAATTCCAGCTCCTAGGCAAATTTGGCTCTGTTACAGACTGAAAGTATTATACCTAGACAACAGCAAAAGCAGCACTAATACTGCTGTTTGTTTGTTTATTTGCTTCCCTTTTAATTTATTCTGACTACGTGCAAGGTTGATCAGATGCAAAGGTCAACAGATGCAAACTGGGGAAGAAACCAGGCAAGTTGGTAAAATGGAGATTAAAAAAATAATAAAAAAGAAAAATCAGCTGTGCTGGTGCAGGCTATACTCTTCCTTATACTGGGAAAACTGGAATTACTGGAATTCCACTGGCTGGGAATTACTGAACTGGGTCATTTGATAAAAGCAACGTGGATCAAGTTATTTCATACAAAACTCTCAGGGTTCCTGGGGTTTTAGCCAAAAGCTAGCTGTTAGTACAGTTAGCAACAGTCAAACTGCACAGGAACTTTTCTTTCTGGCTGTTCCTCTCCAGAGAAGATGGGAATATCAGTCCCGCTCTATCCACAGTCAAGAAAAACCAACAATAAAACCCCAGACCAAGCTAAAATCCTGACAGCAGCACAGCACTGAACTAATCTGACATCAGCTTCTTCCCCAGAAATGTTTCAAGCAGCAAGACAATGTCCTGCGTTTTTTGGCAATCAGCAGATCAGATAGAAGAGTCTAGCAATACAACAGGGATGTGTAATCTGACATGATTAGACAAGGCTCTTTAGGAACAGAACATTCATAATTGAGACAAAGAAAGAGTATTAATAACACTTTCCTAACACGGCAGTTAGCCATTTTATATTTCCTTTCTTTAATCTTAGTGTTTTTCAACAAATCATGGGATTTAATAGCGTGTTTTGGCAGATTAGAGGATTTATGGCCCAGATGTTTTTTGTTCTAAAAATGGATTAGGGTGTAAAGTTTGCTGGAATCCATGGAACATGTTGAGGCAAGCCGGTCATTTTGTGTGTGATTAGTGCCTGCCTTCTGTCTCACAGTCCCTCCATCTGTCACAATTCACCAATGGATCTGGTTAGATTTAGCCTCATGTCACAAACAGAAGTCCCTTTTCTGGGCAATTTCATATTACAGATTCATTTTATGCCGTTTTTATGCCCTAGTTAAAAGACAGAAAGAAGTGTGTGTGTGTGTGCACGTGGGGGGATGTGGAAGGGGAGAGGGAGGTTCATAGATATTAGCCTCTACTTTAATATCTGAAAAATAGACTGGGGCTTGGAGTCTCCCATCAGTATTCTACCCTACAAATGACATGCAGATCATAATAAGTATAATCTACGGTACGCTAAAGGAAAAAAATGACAAAGTGTCACATTTAAAATTAAATAGTATTAGCTGTGCCGGTGATGCTTGTAACATTTTAAAAGGAAATAATTCAGTGACTACTAAGGCTAAGCCCTAGGCTGTGAATTTGCAGCAAAACAGTGGACATTTGACCTACTATTAGCAGCATGAATAGGAGTGGGAATGTAGGTCCGTGTAGCTGTGGTTTCTTGAACATTTATGAATGACAGGTGGTGGTGGGGAGTATTCAGTGGATGAGGTTTTTCTTCTCAGCCATTATGCACTTCATATGTATAGCAAACCACCGCCACCTGTGGTTTATTTTAATGTAGTCACAAGTTTGAAGAAGGGGAAGAATGAAACGGTCTGTTTTTAAGAGTTTGGGATTGCTGGCGTGATCAAAGCTTCCCCTGACTCGTACCCAGTTCCATCCTGCTGCATACAAACCACAGGGCCAGCCTCTGCAGTGTCAGGGAAATATTGAAACTAATGGGATCAAATAGCAGCAGTGAGGATTTTGGCACCGAGGTTCTCAGGCTCTGTGTCCAGGTGGCTCTGTCACAACAACAGCAGAATTACAGAGCACAGGCAGGTTTGTGGGCATTGCCTTTTAACTCTTTCTCATTAATAACGATAAACTGCATTCCACTGAGGGAAGCTGAAGTGTTTTCCTGTAACTTTGTGGGTTTTAAGACGTCCTTTCTTCTGTCCCGTCCCAGGTTATTTAAATGACCATGATGCTGTCACCAAGGCCATCCAGGAGGCCCGGCAGATGAAGGAGCAGCTACGGAGGGAGCAGCAGGTGCTGGATGGGAAGGTGGCCGTGGTCAACAGCCTGGGTCTCAATAACTGCAGGACAGAAAAAGTGAGTTTCCCAGATGCCTTCTGCAAAGGGTCAGAGTGTTCTTTTGCCTCTCCCCACAGATGCACAGGTTCTTCCTCCCTTCTCGTCCTCCTTCTTCTTATTCTATTTTTCCTTCCCCGTTTTTGAAAAGAGAATAGTTCAAAAAAAGTGAAAAGCCAAAAGATGACATGACAGAGAGACCTGGAGACCCCTGGGGGAGAGTGGGGAGGAGGCAGAGATAGCTAAAGCCCTCACGAGAACTTTGGAGACCACTAATTCTCTGTTCCAGCCTGTCAACACGTATTAAGAGAAGGTGATCTTGAAAATCTTTGGGTCTAAGTGGAAATCTTGCTTTATGGAAATGCTTACATGTGTTTGTGAGATGAGCTGGATTTGGAAATATTCAAGCTTCTTTAGGAACATAAGCTTTGCTGATACTCAGGCTCAGCTTCTGGGTATTTAGCCTTGTGAGGTCGTCATATATGATATTTTGTGACCATTGCAATGTAGCACTGTCACGTCACGTTAGATGACTGAACAGAATTGAAAAGCGGAGAATTGACAGCACAAACTGCACCAAATATCCGCAGTGAAACTCGGAGGCAGCAGAACCTATGGGCCTTACCAGTGTCTGCTCTTGCACTGGCCTGTGAAGCTGTGCTGTACCAAAACACCAACAAAGCCACGAAAACACAAAATGCCGACACAGCGGATATTCTCTAGTGAAACGCGTGTGGGCTCTCACTGCCGTGCCTGTCAGTGGTGCTGTGCTCTGCTTCCTTCCCCCGTGAGTGCCTGATGTCTCTGTGTGCCCTGCCTTGCCTTATGGAGGATAAACAGACCTGCCAGTGCTCGCTGCCACATTCGTTGTGAGCTGTCCTTGCGGTGCTGCCACCCAAGATCCACGTCCCAGCTCTGGCGTGTGTCTCTGCATCGTGTGCTTAGCCCTGTTCTCTCCTTGCTGCTGTGTTTTCTGGGGTGATACAGCCATCGTTGTGCACTACAAGGTTCCTGTTGTCACATTTGGTGTCAGCTACATTTAACTGAACCCACTTCTGCTGTAAGGTCTTGTGCAGTTCACTGAGACAGGCAGATAAATGGATTGAATAAAGATGATCAGCTATTTAGCAGAAACTTGAAACCCAGTCATCCTGGGAAGCTTGCGAGTCAAACAGCATTGTCCAGAATGAGCAGATTGCTGATTTGGATGGCTTTCCATTTTGCCTGGTTTTAGATGGAGTTTGATCAATAAGCTGTGAGAAGCCAGCAGCCTGTGTAATGAATGTTAAGTGTACATGTGAGTCTCTCACCGCTGCACTGTTTTCATCGGCCTGTCCCGGGTGTCAGTGGTGTAGAAATGACTCCATTCCCTGCGCTTTCTGGTGAGGAAGGGGAAGGAGAAAAGAGGTCAGAGTAGTAGGTATCTGGCAGCACATCCACTCTGTCTCAGGAGAGCACTACCCTCTGTCTCAGGGTGCTGCCATGGGGACAGAGAAAGAGAGGGCTAGAGCATGTTTATGGCATTTCACAGAGAAGAGCACCAGAAGGGAAAAGGGAAAAGCAGAGTGTCAGATATAAGAAGAAGTGATCACAAGCACAAAGGAATTTATATTCAAATATTTAAGCATTCTTGAAAGGATGCTCGGAGCAGAAATTCCTTTTCTGTGCTCCCCATGTAGAGATGACTTTAACACTCAGGCAGATGCTAATGCAAAGTGACTCCAGCTATTCCTCGCAAGCATAGCTAAATTGCCCTTATTTGTTAAGCGCATTGAATTCAGCTGTGGATACAGCAGTTGGTTGCATTCAGAAAGCATCTGTACCCTTTTTTTTCTTTTTCCTTTTTTTTTTTTTAAATCCTCCAAAGCAGAGACAACTCTACCTATCTCCCCCCTCTCCTCCCTTGTGCTGGCTGGGAATTGTCAAGTGACAACCGACTAAATCCTTTTGGACAGGAAGCCTTCATCCTGAGTTCTATATACTTGCAAAGCAGGCCTTGTGGTTGGATCAGGAAGCCCATTAAAAGCACTTTGATGGTATGGAAATTCATCTTCATGAAGCACCCAGGCCCCTAAGCAGCATGCTGTTTAGCTGTGGTTACAGATCAGTCATTCACATCGGAGGGCAGTAATTGTGCTGACGGCTTGTTCGGCAGTGGAAGCACATAAAATAATCCCAGGCCCTCCACCATGGCATTGCCAGTTAATCTTCTTTAATACAGATCAGCTGTTGTTCTAACACATGACTTTATGCTGGCTCTAGTGACTCTGCACAGCCTTTTGATTAAGTAACAGGAGTGGAACCATCTGCATTCACTTTATTCTGTTACTTTCCTATTCTTGGGATTCTCCTTATTCCTTCTGTTTTCACTTCACACCCTCAACCTCAGTTGAAGTTTATTTTCCTCTCTAATTCATACCTCCTGGTAGGCTCGTGGAGGGCAGACAGGAGTTCTTTTACAAGGTAGCAGGAATTAAAAATGGTTTGCTCAATAGTGAATTTTTCTAAAGCAACTGCAGGCTTTGGGGGTTTTGATACAATTAATGCCAGAACTTTATTGGGGCTCACTGATTTGAACTCGATGATCTCAGAAATGTTTTCCAACCTAATTGATTCTGTGATTTATTTTAATATGTGAAGTTCGTATCCAGACAAACAATCCAACTTCTCTAAAGTTTGTGTCTTTTTGCTCTAGGACATTAAGGTTTTCTCACTAAGAGCAAGGTTTGAGAGGAAAGCGAGTGCTGCCATTTTTAATTAAACTGTATTCTGGTTTTCTCTGTTTTCAGAGGCAGAGAATGAGATAGTTGGGAATTTGGTTGGCAAGAAATAGTGCTGTAGTTTTTTTACACAGTTTCCCTTTTCAGCAGCTCAAGGTCCCACCACAGGACTTAGTGGCAGCCCCTGAACTTTTGAGACATCTTGTTTGTCACTTTTGCTTCCTGACCAGAGAATTGGAGATGGGGGGTGGAATTAAGATATAATTATTCTGTTTTATCCTAATGTATATCTATGTATCCCTGGGCATATTAATACTTAGAAATGCACATTAGTGTTTATGGGCAACAAACACTTGTTGGGGCTATCCCAGATTTTCCTCCCTTCTTTGCTGCAGTGGGTGGTGTACCTTTGGAGGCCTGTGATTCCCTGTTGAGCTTTCTGTTGCAAGAATTGCTTCTGCAGCCTTCCTGTGGAGGGGGCTCTGCGCCATTCCCAGCGTTTGTGGGAGACTTGCTGGGGATTTGTCTGCCAGGGGTAGCTGGGCAGGCTTGGGGCTGGAAATCATCTTTGGGAGTCTCTGTTGAAGCTCTTGGAGCTCTTCAGATGTGTCCTGTTTTCTTGCTCATGTTCCCAGATGGGTTGATCCCTGTGGACAGCCAGACATGCCAGCTGAGGCAGGAGTCAGACAGGAATTTTGTGGAAGTAGAGACAAGCTGTATAAAGGGAGTCATACATAAGAAAAGATTTTTAAAAATGGCTAAGATGATTTGAGTGAGTCACTTTTTGGGCATCCAACTTGGACCATCTTGACAGATTTGATTTTCAGAGGATTACAGTAAAAACTTTGAGCATCACTATGAACACGGATTTCACTAAAACCTATTTTAATTGCAAATGCAGTAAAACATATTTTTACATTACTTTTCTTGGAAACATTTCCTTGTATAAATGAGAAGAGTGTGTTTTTGTGGTTTCTTGGAAACCCGAGTGCATAGCTTTATTTGTAATTGTCATCTACAGTTAATTATAGCTCGATACACCCCACACATAAACAGTGTTACCTGGGGTAAGCAGCACAACAGGCAGCATCAGCCGGGGAGCTGTGGCCTCTCAGTTCAGCCCCAGAACAGCAAGGGAGGTGTCCACAAGCACAGGGAGCCAGCAGAGTGTGTGCCCTCTGCAGGGGCAGCAGCCCAAACACGCTCCCTGCCAGGCAGAGATCCCCACTGCTGCAGGCTCAGGGATGTTCCCTGGGACAGAGGAGGAGCAGGGCACACAGGCAGCACCTCTCCCTCCTTGGCACTGCTTTCTGAGAGCTGGCTGGACAGCCGTGTGAGGACACCCAGCCCCGGGAGCCTTTCTGGTGTGTAGGGATGGGGTCACACTCCCAGCTGAGTACATCCCTTCCCTTGCTGGGGCTGGCTCTGAACCTGTGCTGTTACACTGCTTGGAGTGTGTCCTTTTAAAAGGCTCTGACATGTACTGGTCTGCTGGCTTGTGACTAAATAGCTGTTTGTAACAATATTTATTGCAGCATCGCCAGCCGGAGCCCGTTACTGCTGCTTACGGAGCACGGGGTTCAGGATGACTTTTCTCCCCCTCCTCCTTCCATCCTTCCCACTCCCACCCCGGCTCTCCCTCTTCCCCTTAAGAAAGTGCCAAACACGGAATGACAGTGACCAATGTTGACTTAATGTGGATGTTTAATAATGAAAAAAGTGTGTCAGTTCTAGCGCTAGTTACAAATGGCAGGAAGTATATCGGGTGGCAGCCCTGTAATAATTTTACATCCATCATTCCCTCCGATGCCTCGCTGGCTGCCTGATGGATGGGGATAGCAGAGTTAACTCTTAGGAAACCACTGTGATCTGCTGAGCTGAAATGGATTTTGGCCCTGCTCTCCCCTTGGGAAGAAGGGGAATATTAAGAATCTCAAACCTGCAGCTCCTGCTGCCTTTGAGAAATAAAACACTGGAGCTCACTTTACTGAACACATATGGAGTAGCTGTTTTAACATGACTTTTAAATTTTTCTTGCAGTAGAGAATTTTGCTTCAATAACTTTTTTTCCTTTCCCTAATGGTTAGATTTGAACCAGAAAGTCAAAATGAGAAAATTGCAGGACAGAAGGGCAGGCAGGAGAAGAAGAGAGGAGGGTTGGCACAACAGACGAACCCTGGCCTTGCTGCAGACACTGAGAGGCCGTGGGTCAGGCTAGGCTGAGGAAGTTGTGATGATTGAAACTGGGACCTGGGGCAAGCTGGAGAAACCCACTGAAAACGACCCCAGAGGCACAGTACT